AGCACTCTGCTACACAGAAAACTAGAATGAGATTAATATTTATGGAATTGAACTAAAAGATTAGCCTCTATCTAGCAATTCTACAAGGATCTCTACTGATTCAAAACAGGCAGCACTGGAAATATTAAGCACTTACTTACCTCCTCAGGTGGTTCAATGGCTCGACTTAATCTCACTCTGCTAATTTTTCTTTCATGTTATGGGAAGACCTACAACAGCTAGTGAATCCTCCCTAAAACAATTCTAAAAAAAGAGAAAAATTTTTTTCTAGAGCTGAAAGAATGAGAAAAAGTTCTCTATGCATATTATTTAAGTTAGAAATCATTCTAAGGTAAAGCATTTAATGGTCAATATATGATTAATTTAACAAGGTTGAATTAGTGTAAAGATATTCTGTTATCTACAGAGGAAACTCCTGTCATTCCCTAGTTGCAGTTCCTCTTCCCACTGAAAGGTTGTTTCAACACTAGGGGTTCACAGGGGAGGAAATGATACCTTACACTGGCCCATTTCAAGTCACTTTCACACACATCTGCACTCCAAAGTTAAGCCACTGTGCCTTATGTCAATTTACAAAAAAATCTCATGTCTTTTGTATTATACCATATAGTTTAGGTCTTATCCAGTGACTTTTACTTACTGTAAGACTTTTTTTATTTGAAGATGGAATCTACAGAACCGCATTCCTCAAATTCACTATGCTTAAGTACACCAAGAATTGAGGGCAGACCACACATTCCTTTATTGACCTCTACATCATGAACTTGTAATCACTTTAGAGATGGTCTAATCCAAAGAATTTTCTACTTTTTATTTTTCTAGACACAGAAACAGTTTTTCTTTTTAAAGAAAATACTACCTGTAACTCTTGGATGGATGGATGGACAGATGGATGGATAGAGCAGGGAAAACATATACTAAGATACCTAGGGAAAAAAATCATTCATTCTACTAATACAGTTAAGGTTATAAATATTCAGGATTTTAAACTCCAACTCTGGAAATTTTTAACAATTATTAACACATCAGCCATGGAAGTAGGGGGAAATATACCACAAACCTATTTTATTGGCCCCCCTCTTTCCACCAGAAGGAAAGAATCCCTAAAAACTGTACTTTGGATCTGTTCTTAGTTTCTCAAACTTATTTGCTGATGAAGCAAGTGCTGTCATAGATCTTCAATAGAAAGAGTACAGAAAATAGTGGAAGAGGACAAAACAAATTAGCAGAAACCACAAACAGAACTAAAATTCACTGGTGACACATGCTTCCTGTAAATGGTATTAGGAGCTTCACACAAATTATCCAGGATAATAATACTCTCAACAAAACAGATGGAATTCTCATTTTACAGTTAAACAAATAGAGATTCTTCAAACTTTAAGAAGCTGACTTGCTCAAGGTAAGGAGGAGAGTCAAGGCTCAGCCCTAAGACTTCCTAGCTCCAGACTTCTCTTTAACAAACCCACTGACTTCTAGGAGTCATAGCAAGAGTCAAAGCAAACCTTTCCAGAACCATCTCCTCCTTACCTTTTCCACCTTGGCTACTTCTAAACTGGCCTCTACACTGGCAACCAATTCCCATTCTGTACCTAAAAGCACTTTAGTCTCAAGTTGCTACAGGTGTTTTCAACATCAAAACAATCCATCCATTTTCTTTTCCCCCGAATCTGCACCTATTTAGTAGTAATGTCACCTATACCCCGTATTTAAAATTATTACCTAATGTTAGATCTAGGGGGAAAGTTCCGAGGTCATCAAGAACAAATCTTTCATTTTTCAGAGGACAACCTGTGCCTAGAGAGGCTATATATTCTGGATTTTGAAAAAAATCTTAATCATTGATATTACAGGAGGTTCTCCTGGACAATGAATGGTCACAGACTCCTCCTTGACAAAGGGAAGAGCATCTTTGTTCCTCCCAAATCTCTTCTACTAGAGATTCACGTCAGCTTTTGTCTCTAATGCTCTATTTCCAACTCTTAAGTACAGAGATAGTGAATTTGCAGCAACTTGGCAAATAAGCTTTTAGGGCTACAAACTGCCTGGATTTAAAATATTCTAAGAAATAAGTTGTAGGAATATTACTTAGTCACACAAAGAATGAAATAATGCCATCTGCAGCAACATGGATGGACCTAGAGATTGTCATACTGAGTGAAGTCAGAGAAAGACAAATATCATGGTATCACTTATATGTGGTATCTTAAAAAAAAAAAAAGGTACAAATGAACCTATTTACAAAACAGAAATGCAGTCACAGGTGTAGAAAACAAATTTATGGTTACTAAGGGGAAAGGAGGGGGGAGGAATAAAGTGGGAGATTGGGATTGACATATATACACTGCTGTATATATAGAATGAAGTTTCCCAGGTGGCTCAGTGGTAAAGAATCACCCTGTCAATGCAGGAGCTGAAAGAGACAAGGGTTCAATCCCTGGGTCAGGAAAATCCCTGGAGGAAATTGGAACCCCCTCCAGTATTCTTGCCAGGATAATCTCATGGACAGAGGAGCCTAGTGGGCTACAGTCCATGGAGTCGCAAAGAGGTAGATACAGTTGAGCGCCAATATAAAAGAGCTGACTAATAACAACCTGCTGTAGTGTATAGGGAACTCTACTTGATACTCTGTAGTAACCCATATGCGAACAGAATCTAAAAAGGAGTGGATTAATGTATATGTGTAGCTCATTTGCTCTGCTGTGCAACAGAAACTAACAATGCTGTAAGTCAACTATACTCCAATAAACATTAATTTAAGAAATGAACAGCAATTCTATCTGGGATGTCACCACGCTTACCTCAGCATAAAACCAAAAAGCAAGCCTGTGAGCTAGTCTAGAACACCTGTAAAGCCATCACACATGGGCCCCAAACAACACTATAAACATAAAAATGAGCAAGAAAAGAAAATCAAGGCAAACTAGTATAAAAACAAGGAATTGGGGCAAAGAGAATGAAGTAAGGAAAATGGAGGGACACAGCAGACACCAAGTCAGTAAGCAGTATTTATGACTATTTCAGAAGGGCCACTGCTAAGCACAGTCAACGGCACACAGTAGAAGTACAATATCTATTATATAATGAGTGAACGTATATGGTAAAAGTACAAAATGGAAGCGATTCCATTCTGGGAATTCATTTGCTGGGGGAGAGACTTGCCCTGAGTCAATGTCCTCACTCTCAGCAACTTCCTTTCACTTTTCTTTGCCTGAGTTTCCCAATCTACAAAATGGGAGTAAAAGCCCCATTTCCAAGGTGTAAAGTTGAGATTACCCGCAAAAAGGATTCAAAGCTCACACAAATGCAACCACCTGAGCACCCACCGCTGGCGTATTTCATAAACAATCTCAGATTTAATAAGCGGAAGAAATTTTCAAAAATCCCCCACAATCTGCTCATCTTCCCCCATCTAACCATTTCAATACTCTGGGAGTCATTCTTGCTCTTCCTCCTCATCCAACCTATCATCCAGGCCTAACCATTCTAACCCTCAAATATCATTCATTGTACTGTCATCACCCTAGTCTAAGCTACAAATTATCTCACATAAATTACTAACCTTGCTCCACCACATGAGCTTTTGCAATTCCTGAAATGTGTTATGCTCCCTCTTGACAAACTCCTATTCACCCTTGGTTTCATTCTGGTTTTCACTCACTCCTCTTTCATTACACACTCACACCCCTCTGAAGTACTTATGTATTTGTGCAATTATTTTACGACACAAACGTATAAAATCACAGACAGCTATAAATCCAACTAAACTGAGAGCACCACGAAGGTAGGCACTGTTATCTGTCTGGCTCCTCTCAGGAAACCCGGGCCTGGCACACAGCTTGGGCCCAAATACCTGAATGACTCCAGCTGAGGTGGAGACATAAAGTAGCCAACTACAACTCCAAAATCAAAAAGACAGCTGTCCACGTTCCTTCAACATTCTCCCCACCTTCACTCTCCACAGCTCAAATCAAACCATTCAAGGTATCAGATACCTCATGTCTTCAACCTCAGGCAGCCCCTGTTTTCTCCCCTTCCCCATAAAGTTCCAGGTCCAAAGAGAACCCCTCTTAGCCCTGGGCCGGGAAGGGACGTGCTTCTTTTGCCCGTGCGGGTGTCGGGGTGCTGGACTATCCGGGAGAAATTTCCTAATCCTGACACCCTGGCCGAGCGTCTGAACACTAGTCCGCGGAGCCGTGACGCACGCAGGCCCAAGCGCTTCGTCAGCTGTGAAATAGCAAACAGGCGCTTCTTTGAGACTTCTCAGACGCAATTCAAACCGCGCGTCCCAGCTCGAAAGTAAAAATGCGTCACAGACCCTCAGAAGTCCATTCCACTCAAGAAGGTGGGAGAGAAAACACAACGACCCCCGCGCCTTGCCCTTTAAGAAACATCCCCGGTTTAGGCAGCCAGACCTAGAGTAAATTCTCGCGAGATTCATCTACTTCCGTCCGCTTCCTGCTCTTTGCTCTCCGAACCGGAAGGAAGGGGGTATTTCCCCGCCCCCGGCTTCTACCTCACAAGGCAGCGCGGCCCCAGATGAGACCAATCGGCGGGTTCATTGTAGGCCACGGCCCAAACAGCCAATGGAAAGTCGCGGCGCGCGCAGAGCTCCCCCTCTTCCTTGCTGGCCCCCTCCCTTCCGCCCGCCGACTACCACTCAGCCCCTGGCGGAGGAAGTGATGTCACAGGCCCCATGTGAGCGGATTGCAACACATGCAGCTGCCTGGAGAGAGGGAGCCGGTGTCCTACGTCAGAGCCGCCGCCGCGGAGCCGCCGCCGGGGAGGAGCAGCCGCTGCCGCCCAGGACTGGGCCCTTAGGTAAGCCACGGAGAGGGAAAGGCCAGCTACCACCGCGGCGGGCCGCGCGGGGCGGGAAGAGGAGGGACTCTCGGGGGTGGCAAGGAAGGGGGCCGCTCTGCCCCAGCGGCGGCGCTAACTCTGTGGTCTTGGTGTCTCCGGGCCCCGCCGGGCCGCTCTAGGGAGGAGGAGGCGAGAAGATGGCGGACGACCCCAGTGCTGCCGACAGGAACGTGGAGATCTGGAAGATCAAAAAGCTCATTAAGAGCTTGGAGGCGGCCCGCGGGTGAGCGCCGCATCTGGGCCCCCCCATGCCCTCTTGGTTCCGGGACCCCTCAGGATGGCCGCCCCCGCGCCGCATGGCCGGATGAGGAGAACCAGGCACTAGCCAACTCCCGCCTTATGGACCTGTGGGTAGTAGCTTCAGTCCCAGGGGCGAGGGTCTACGCCGTTGGCCCCAGAAGGGGCAGTTCTCCGTCTTGGGGCTAGGGGGTCCTGCTCCCGGTACTCGGACCACTCGACCCCCTCGTGGTAGGCCACTACTACTTCTGTATCTCTCTCAGGCGCTGAATCCAGCACCTCCTTTTCTGAGCTCCAGATGCTGCCACCCACCTCGGGTGCTGTTGGGGGAAAGGGCCAGGCCTTCCTTTCCAAAAGCCCTTCCCTGATTTCCTCTTTCCCTTCCTTTACATTCTTAAGCCAAGCCTCATTAAAATGGCCTCTCCCTCCCGGGCTTCTTGAGACCCGGGTGGGATTAAGTCTGGATGGGGCGGGAAGGAGAGGTAGTCAAGGACAACCTTTTTCTGACTTCCTCTGATTTCTCTGGGTTTTACCATTCTCCCAAGACGACTTCCTCCTAGTCCTGTAATTACCCTTTAGCTTCCTGGTTTTAGCTGTTACAGGACCCACCTATAAACTGAGAATGTGTGCGCCGGAGGGGAGGTTTTGGCTGACAGCTGTGTATCTGTATATACAGGAGAAATCCGAATTACGGGGTTGCTGATATGAACAGGCTCCCTTTTGGCCTGTCTCTGGAACTCCTGGAGTAGAGGTGCCTAGTGTATTAATGATTGTTGAAATTCAGAACTGGATTGGGTGGGCTTTGAGTTTTCTTCGGTAAATTTTGAGAAGCAGCTGTTAGGTGTGTCCATTGTGGGAAGGGTGAACTAGTTTAAAACTAACTTTATATGCTCTTTTAAAATTTAAAAAAAAAAGTTACTCTTTAGGGGAGAGTGTGTCAGAGGTGTATCTGTTCTCTCAGTTTATTACTTTATTTTGTTCTTTTCCCAGTCATAGAAACTTTTTACTTAGAGGAAGTGGCAAGGAAAAAAAAAAGTTTTTGGAACGTTACATATTTGTATGTCTGAGCATTCTTAGAATAGCAGAGTGACTTTTCTGGGACCATGTTGAAAGTTGTTTTCAGTACATGAATTGGACATTCTGGTTTCTGAGGCAGGTTTGTCCTTGGTTGGTAGATTTGCAATGATGGGATTCAGCAAACTCATAGTAGTTACTGCTTTATGAAGTAAAGTATGCTTAGATCCACTGAAGCCCAAGGCTAACAGCTTTGCCATTTTGCTTTGTTCTTAACAATTAGTTTAGTGACAGTTCTGTTTGGGGTGAAACTTCTGAAAGTTTTGTTCTCTTCAGTTACTGGAGTTTTTGCTCACTTTCTCTGGTATGAATTGAAGGTAGCAGCTTATTTTTCATTCCTTAGGTTTGTTTTTCTTTGAATTTAATAGAATTATTCAGACATAGTTAATATAATCTTACCAGAACTTGAACACAGATGATTCTATGCCACATGGTAGAATGAATTATTATTCCCCAAGTGTGAGAATACTGTACAGGAGGGATAATATTAATAGATCATGACCCATTATGATGCACTACCAGGAATTAGCCAGATTCTTTTGTTTCATTAGCATCTTCTGTTGTTTTGCTTGAATCCTTCACTTGAGTATGACTTTTCTAGATTGCTGTTGTTGCTGCTAAATAAGCAACAGCATTCCTTTCTACTGTTTAATGGAGGGAGCTCATTCTTAAGTTTGTTCCTAGCCATGTTACCTAGCCACTTGAAACTTTTAAGCTCCTCTTTGAAGCTTTTAAAAGCTGTAGTCCTTTGATTAACAAACTTAGGTAAAGTTGAAGCATGCTAAAAATGAAGTTCTTACGCACAACTTTTCTTGCAAGTGGTAGTTAAGTTTGAACATTTTATACAAGTTTAAGCTGTCATATAAACAACGTGGTTGATAATCATGTCCTACTTTGCTTTTATTCAGGATTTGGTTATATTCTGATCCCATGAAAATTTAAATTCTTGACCATCGCTACGTATCAGTAAGGGAGTCACAAGTATATTCTTTTTGACTCAGAAGTTTCTTGGTATATACCGATTTATTTTTGAGAAAAGCAAGATTGTATTATGGCTGAGTTATATTAGTCACTCATTAGATTATCATAATGTGCAGTGAGAATTGTTTTTCCTTCTTTCCCTAATGTTAAAATAGTCATTGAGAAACATGGTGGACTGTTAATTTTAAGCACAAACTGGATGGTACAATGAATCTATTTCTGGTGGTGTTTAAGGGGCAGGGGCAAGTTGTGGGTTTCAGGAGAAAACAGGTTGTGTTCAAGCATGGTTATTAGTACTAGATAGTGAAACAGTGGTAGACTAGTAGAATTGTTTTGGAAATGAAGATATCTTCTCCACCACCCTCACTCTGCTGCCCCCCTGCCCCCCACCCCTGCCCCAGTCAGTTCTGGGCATGAGAATCAGAGATTGGTTTGTTTTTAACTTTGGCTCTTAAGGTATGCTGGGATAAGAGTAATCTTGAAATTGAGACAGCCAATATGTGATTATCTTGATATATGATCCCAAGGTAATGTAGCTTTGAAGGAAAACCACCTGCAAAATAGACTCACTGATTAAGTAAATCTGAACAGAGTGAAGTTTCTAAGCACATTAGTTTTTTAAGCAGTTAGCATATTATGGATACTGTATTAAGCAATACATTATTTCATTTAATCTTGACAAGAGGTATTGTCTCTTTGTCATACTTTCTGAATTAAAAGGAGTGTTATACATATAACTTGAATTTATGTTGGGTGGAACATACATATTTAGCTTTGTATAAGCCTGGTGAAATGTTGGTTTCTGGGTATGCTAGTGAAAAAAAAAACCAGCTAAGTCTTTTCCTATCCATAGGTCCCACTTAAAATTAATTGTTCTTCCTGGTTTATGATTGCTCTTGGTGTATTCTCCATAGTTGGCTTAAATGAGGACAGATGTGTACATAAGCCAAAACTCAACCTAGGGCCATGTGGATGGAAACCATGGTTGTAGATATTTTCAAAAAGGAACTGAATCAGGTGAAGATATGTAGAAGAAAGGTAGGTAGCAAATTTAGGTTGTTTAATGTTTCTGAGCCTGTGAGAGGTAGCCCCAGAAATAGTGTTGGAAGCTTTGTAGTTTTCAGGTAATAAAATCATAACCAGAGCCCAAGGACAGTGGTGAATATAACTAAGGAATGGACAAGGTAAATCTGGACTAAATTATGTCTGTGAGTATTAGAATATTTTTTTTTCACTTATCTTCCACAGGGAATCATATATTTCATATATAATCAAAGCTCAGTCAGATAACCCATGTTTAAAGATTAGGGCAGTTTCTAAGCTTCATTTGAGTCTTCTGTGGTTTGGGGACATTTAAGCTTTTGTTAAAAATAACTTGTAGATACCTTGAAGGAAATAAATTGCCTGAATTTACATGACTGTCTTTCTTACCCCCAGATATATATGGGCCGGGGTGGGAGTGGGGACACAGGATGCACAGCAGGATGGGACAGTTTTTCTCCTCTGAGAAGTTCTGATACTAGCTGTGTGGGTTTTTTCCCCCACACCAAGCAGTTCTTCAAGTCTCACTGGACACCAAAAAGGTACTCCTACAGTTGGATTCAATTCTGACACTACCTAGAGTTACTATCAGATCCCACAAAGCTCAGTCCCACAAGACTGCCCACACATATGATGCCAAAACAAGCCTGGGCCTTGGGGGTTCTTATGACTTCTTGGGTTCAATGATATGTTAGAAGGGTCTAAAAACCTCAGGGAAACTATGTTAACTGATTTATTACAAAGGATGTTATGAAGGATATAAATGAACAGCCAGATGAAGTGGTACATGGGGCAAGGTCTGTAAGGGTCCACGTGCAGAAGCTTCTGTCCTTATGAAACTGGAGCATGCCACCTGAGTTTACCAACCCAGAAGTTCATTAAATCTTTTTCAGTAATTTTATATAGATTACTCTGCAACTACCTCTTCCCATAGGTCTGGGAATGGAGCTGAAAGTTCAGCCCTCAAAAAACTTGGTCTTTCTTCAGACTGGTCCATCCTAATTCTGCCTAGGGGCCCCACCCTAATCACTTCATTGGCATAAACTCAGGTATGCTCCTTGGGGACTCCTTATGAATAATAACAAAAACACTCCCCATCTCAGGAAATTCTAAGGCTTTTAAGAGCTTCCTAAAAGCCAGGGACAGACCAAAATCTCCAGAAAATTCCTCACATTATATTGAATTAAAAGTTATATTTTTATGAGATCGATGAATGGGTTTTTTAAATAGAATATAGACAGGTTGTTTATATGATTTGAATAAATTAAACTGTGTAAATGTGTTTGGGTTCCTTCCCTAAGTGGAAGTTGTTGATTAGTATAACATTCACCTAAAGGATTCTTGGAATGGTCTCAAAGCAATGAATTTCAGGTGGTTTTATTTTTTAGTTCTCCACATCCTAGTTACAGGTGGCTATAACTAAAATGATACTTTGTCGTCTTTCATACTGATACCAGGATATTCAGGCTCTTAAAGAGGATGTTTTTCATCCTCTCTTCTGGCTTTCCCTGCCTTTCCTGTATCCGATAGTTATACAGGTAAAAGAACCCACTAGAGAAAAGTCAAGAATTAGAATATTTTTAATTTCCTGGGAAGAGATGGGTGTAGAACACAAACTACAGTGACTTCCCACAAAACGGTCAAAATATAGATGCCACCAACATGTCTGGGCCTGTTGAGGTGGAAAAAGGAAGAGGGACAGGTAAGAGTATATTTGATAGGGTGTGGTGGTGGTCCTCAGTCTACTCCAAGTGTATTAGGCTGCCTGCCTCAACTCAGAACTAGTCCTAACAGCTGTTGTATTCTGGCATGGTGTTCTATGCACTGTGAACCTAATGAACAATCTCTTTGAATTTCAACTCCTGACAGACTTCTTATTGTAATAGCAGA